CCAGCTAAACTTTTACTGCGCTGGTAGAAAAAATATGTAGTTGGATTGTCATTTCATGTAGTTCTTCTCCAGCGCTCTGTTATGGCTTTGTTACGTGGACAGAAATGTGGCGTTACCTTCCTGAGACAAACATCTGATGAATATTATTGGTAATGAAACGGTAACAGCAAGGGAAGCTCAGCAGCTAAACTTCACATTTTACTGCCCTGGTGGAAAACATGTATTTCTTTTTACTGCTAATGATGATATAACAAGACCGTGTGCCTATCAAGTGACCAATAATGAATACTTTACAAATTTGCATTAAAAAATGTTATTGGATATTGCTTAAGCCAATGCCTTTGTAAACTTCATGTATTATGTGGTTTATAATGGACTGTGGTGCAGAAACAGTGAGGCTTACATTGTCCTGGTATCTGTCAGTGGTCATACTGGATGCACTAGATGTGATAGTTTTTGAGAATTTCTTCATTTTCATTTTCTTCTATGTTAGTCCAGATGAGCCAACCCTCACAAGTTGTAAAATAATGTATTACAGGAGTATAAAACATCATGTAGCACTTCATTTCTTCATGTGGATGTTTTTTATTAATGAAAAAGTAACAATAATATTCAAAAGAGCATATGGTTTTACATAATTTATATAATTTCTTTATATATCTAAAAGAAACCTTATTTCTTGACTGGCAATCTCTTTTATCTCATAGATGACATATTTGTCCTGTCTCAGGCCAACCAACACGAATACCTCTTCCAGCAACTGACAGGTTTAAAGAAATGAAAGGATAGGTTTGTGGGGGAGGGGGGTTTGTAGTCTATTTCAAAACAATGCTAAAATGATGTGTACAGTGAAAAGATTATTGTTGGCTATTGGCATCTCCTGCATAGGCATGGCCAAATTGTTAGAAATTAGTGACAAATCCACTCTTCTCCTTTAATGAAAAAATGTTTCCCAAACCTCCCAAGACCTATGGTTTGATTCTGTGTGTATTTATATTAGTAGCATTGTCTTTGAACAGGGCGTACTTTTAGAAAAAAGTTAGTAGGCCTATGTGTACCCAATGTGTAACAAAGAAGAAACAGACATCAGAACATGGCTAGCAAGTGACCCTAGAGGGCACAGGCATGTGCTCACTAATGAGGACAATAGGTCTATGTTGAGCAGAATGAAGTATATGGTGCATGGATCTCAAAACCTAAAGTCCCCATATGAGGATATATCAGGATTTTAGGAGGCAAATTTTATTTGAAGCTAAATAAGGCTTAAGCAGTCTAGTTAAAAAATTTAATGGATATTGTTGTTAGGTCATTGTGTAGTTTTACTGTTGGAAGGAAGTATCCCACTGCTGCAACTCAGCAAGTAAACACACAAAGACTAACTTCTAAAAATATTTACGATATATTTTGTGGCCTGCCCAAGTCAGACTGCTGAAGTCTCATAACTGTTTGTAATGAACTTTAGAATTTTGTCCTCATTCTCTTACACTTGAGTCAGATTAAGAACCGATGAGCATGCTGTTTGCTTTCTTTTAAGCTAGGGGCTACCCTATGATTGACAAGTCGCTATGTGTGACCCAAATATGGTATCCCATGGATGTTCAGTCAGTGTTCAGGACGGAGCTGAACACCTTTTTTCTCTCAGCTGGACAGGTAGGCTGGAATAAAATACAGCTGCTCGTTACTTTCTATAAATTCAACTAAAAGACCTTCTGTTAGCTTCCTGCTCAGCTTTCAGTCTGAAGGGAGGTGTTTGTTAACCTGCTCCACTTATTTTGGGAACAGACTTTTGTTGGTCTGGAGAAGCTGAAGCTTTTGACCTGACACACTGACACCATTCTTTTACTACCAGAATATTTTCCTCCTCTGAGATTCACTTTCTGTCACTCGGACAATCAAACACTATGAGACCTCCAAATTAAAGGAGCTGCTCTGATAAAAGCACCTTAAATTCACTGAAGTTTGTGTTCTAGCCTAGGTCTTTTTTTTTTTTATTTTAAACAGGTATTTATTTTCCAACGTTCATGTAATGCTACCTGCAGCGCTCAAGAATGTTTTTTTTTCTTCCTGTGGTGGTGTTCTTTCCCTCGCTAGTCTAAATCCGTCCAAATATGATTCGCTGTATTGCGACTACAAAGACCAACAGGCAGACAGTGACAGTGAAAGTTAGTGGAGGATAAGATCAGCATTAAGTTGTCGGGTTACAGCTCTGTCATCTTCTGTACATGTTGATAGTTAAATTAAATTAAAAAGAAAGGATGGTGTTGACCACGGAGGAGCTGAGGTTAGTAACATTAAAGCAAACTAACGTTAGTCCTTTTAAGCTAATAAGGAGATTATTCTTTTGGATTTTGATGTACAAATGAAATGCTTGTAATAACAGAGAAGGGAGGTGGTTCTCATGTTGGCTATTATTTATGTTAATTTCTACAAATGTATAAAGCAGTAAATTAAGAATAATAAATTAATGAATAATCCTATCTGTAATGATTCTGAGGTCATGTGTTTTCCTGCCATTATAAGGTGGTGAGGCTCAAAACACCTTTAACTCTGGTCTCTCACTGCAAACACACCTTTTTTTTTTTTTTCAGGCTTTCCCTGCTTCTCTTGGTCTCCCTGTCTGCTCCCCTGAGTTTATTCATCAGCAGTAGGTTATGTTTTATAAAGTCACCGAAAAAAAACATAGAACTTTTTTTTCCATCCCCTGGTGATCCATTTTTCACGTCAGAAGGTGCACCGCATGCCAGCTTGTTAATTACGTAGCTTATCAATGTCATCGTCCATCCCGGTGTTTCATTGTTGACATCATCCAATGCCAATTTTGTAGACATTGATTTACTCTGCAAGTAATTGTGTGACTGCATTTCCTTTGCATTCTTCTTATTATTACTAATTTATTCATTTATGCAAGATGTGCCATTTATGCAAGATGTGCCTTATTTTGTGTCTGTTAAATGTAGAAATGACGGAAGATGTTGTGACAAGATGATACTAATGAAGAGAACTTGAATTGTAATAATGGAGTTGTATTTGTATTTTTGAGGACTACCATATGAAAATTGGCATTTTGTAAATTTTAAGTTTACTAATAGTAATTTTGTTGAGTGAGTTTCCATTAGTATTTGACTCTAGCACAATTAATTATTTTGAGCATCAGTGAATCAATGTAATTTAGTATGGGGAAATTAAACGTTTTTAACTAATGTATTATATTTAAGTTACGGTTTACTCAAAAATATTATTACCACTACTTAAAAAGTTTGAGGTAATCATTTTCCACAAATATTTTGAGTATTCTGAACTTATTTGGGTTTACAGTGTAGTTGCTCCAGAGGCGTGCGACCTCTGACATATATAGCAATTGTAAGTCACTTTGGATAAATGTAATGTAATGTAAAAAGTTGATCTACAGGAGAAACGGATCTGAAAGCAGCACAGAATGCCTGAGAGCACTGACTTCGATTCTGTTATATTTATATATTTTGAAATGTCACCTGACACCTGAATTTTGTGTTTCCTTTTACATGAATAAAAACATTTCCACCATAAATTGGTGCAGAAACTTTCACCAGAATGTAGGAAATGAAGTGTTTAAAGATCAACATTTCCTGGGGGAGGGCCCCCCAGACCCCCACTCATCTATCTCTGAATTGAGGATATCTTTAAAACACTGTTTAAGGGGGTTTTTTTGGCTCGTGTCTCTTCAAACTTCTAATCTGAGTCCCTATGTCCCCACCACTTTTCAACACAAAGTGATGCCCTTGGATCTCTTCACAATCAATTTGTTGAAAAGGGAAGGAAAATATACTTACAGCAAGTGAGGACTGAAAACACACCCCTCCAAACGGGGATCCTCTGCACTACCAACTGAGTTAATCACACACACAGTAAATGTTAAATGGTCAGTTGATGTATGTTGGAGCCATTCTGTGTATAGCCATGGGTTGGCGCTGTGTGCAGCCACAAGTCTACTTAAGACATTGGGTAATTAGTGCAGGTGTGGCGCACTGCGAGGTGCATGGTTTTTGACCGTGAGGCACGGCGTGTAATTATGGAGACTGACTTGAGTTAAGTTATTATTGAATAAATGTTTTATTTTTCGTTATGTTAATAAATGGATTGGCATATCCGACGTTAAGTTCAGACTTTTGAAAGTTTATTATTTTATTTAATTATTTTAAGCCCCAAGGAAACAGCACGCCCGAAACACGCGTGCAAAACGACTTAAATGTGCGCCAACAATGTAATTCTGGCCAGCCATCCAATGACTTGAAAAAAATTGGCATGATGCCAGACTTATTTGCCAACCCCTGGTCTAAAACATACTTTTTGTAATATTATTCAGGGCTCTACAGTTCGACCATTTCACTCAGCATATGCCCCTAAAAATAGATGCGTGTTCAACTTTTCATAAAGTGATGTGCTCGTCTGTGTCACTTTTCGTCAACTGACCAATCACAGCCTGGATGAGGCGGGACTTTAAAAGTTTGACGAGCTACAACAAACTTTCATAAGTTGAACTCATTAGTTTTTACATTAGAAAATAATGTAGAGCATGTTTATTGCACAAGGATCTGATGAATGAAAACAACCCAAATAATGAAACCGCTTGTCCAACTTGAATTAATTTTTACTAGTGGCAAGCTATGAGTAACATTATATAATTAATATATTGACATTATATTAAAAGTATACTATTAAAAACAGTATACTTTTTATTTAATGTTAATATTTTACTAATACGCTCATTTATAGTTGTCGATAGTACATCTGCAGAAAGATGCAGAATGCTAAATTTCACAGTCATCACAATCTTCCTGCATACCTCCCCTGAACTCTCCAACCCTTCTTCCTTTTAAAAGCCTATTTCAATTGCTCAACTGTAAAATTCAGTGACACGTGTGTATGTAGGATGTTTCATTACAATGCATGTGAGCCAGTGAATAAAATGTGACATTTTCTTGCCTGAACTGGAAGCTGGCAAAACATTGCTTTCATAGCTTTATTAGCACTACAGTGTTAGAGCAAAATGTAAGAATGAGACTTAAGTTGGCAGATCTGACCATATTTTAATTCCAGTCAAGGTTTGGTTGTACTGCCACCCAGTGTAGGATAAAATCTTGTGAGCAGCACACTGTTATATCCCAGAGTTGGTAAATATGTTGCAGATCTAAAAGCAGGCTGTGAACCATTGTGACAGGGTTATCCTGATACTGGTGAATGTTTTTCTTACGTACAATTTAGGGCCGATTATTAGCTTGATTATTTGTTTGGTCTATAAAACATCAGACACTAGTCAAAAATGGTGGTCACAATTTTCTAAAGCCAAAATTGACATCTTGTTTCACTGTTGAGAGCAACTTGTCATAACATCTTTGTAATAGCCAGTTTCAAAAAGCAGTAGGCGCTTTTTCACAGCAGACATTTTCACATGTCACACAAGGAAAAGCACAGGTGTAAATAACAAAATGAATGATGGCTAAATTCCATGTAGTTGTTTCAGTTTCAGGGTCCTGGTATTGTACACGCTGGTGTACTGTTGCATGGCTTACTGCAACGGAGCCATCGTTAATGTTATTAGTGTTTTTCAGTCAAAATATCTGCTGCAACAAAGACCTATTAAAATCTTTTTCAAACACTGACAACAGAAAACATGACACCAGAAATACGTCTGTGCCATTATCAGGCACATTGCATGAATTTAATAAAGTGCAAATGATAAAAAATGTCCCTAAGCCCTCTCTACAGTGTCTTTCCAAACCTGGAATACGGTTAGTGCAGTGAAAAAGCAGGTTGCCACTTTGTATGGTGTGAGTTCACAGACCCAGAGGCAAGGCTACTAATTACAGGCAAAAGCCGTGATCAACAGTGGTAAAATCAAAAGGCATCCATATGGAACAGTCCCACTATTCAGTCTTTTTTCACCCACTCATTTCTTCACATTTTCAAAGTACATGTTGTACCGTCAATGTGACCAATTCAGTTAATATGTCTATGTGTAGGTTCAATCACAAACCCTTGTGCAACTAACTCTAAATATTTAACTCACTTCCTGAAATCTACAGACAATCACAAAGTCACATCTCTCTCATCTTCAGCTCTTTCTTGATAAACTGCATCAGATGTTGGTTGAGCTTGGCCAAGACCTGCTGGAAGACTACTTCAAGTCTTTATCACAGAGCAGTTTCTCCCTCTCCTGCTCCCATGTCCACCCTCCTGTGCACCCTGCTGTCCTCTATATCCTCCCACTCGTCCTCCAGCCCCTCTCCATCCTGCATTCTAATTGGTTGGTTCAAGCGAAGGAGGCGGTATCTAAGTGGCACCAAGAAGAGAGCGGGGTCAGGCATGGGGTGTGGCCTCTGCGGTGACGTCACTCTCTCCTGTGGGATGCAAGCTCTGACCCTCTCTTCCCTGACACGCCTCTTGTTCGCTTCTGGTTGGCTGGGAGAGGCTGGAGGAGGTGGAGACAGAAGCCAGTCTGAGCCCTCCCCTTCATCATCTTCATCTTCCTCGTCTTCGTCCTCCTCCTCTTCTTCTTCTTCTAAATCCTTTTCTCTGGGTTCCTCCTCTCCCTCTGCAGCAGGCTCTCTGCTGTAGCGTTGCTGGAACAGTTTTAAGCGTGCGGTTTGGAGCTCGTGGCAGAGGCTCGTCGTAATGACGTTTTGGTGTTGCAGCTCACGACTCAGGAGTGTGATCTTGTGGCTCCGGCGTTTCAGTTCCTCCAGGAAACATCGCTCTTCTTCCCTGAGGTTCCTTCCAAGTGCCGATGCTCGTGCCCGTCCGGCCCGCAGCTCCCCACGCGCAGCAACCATCATGCACTGCTGGTCCTCTAGGAGACGCTCTGCAGCCTCACAACGTGCTGCGAGCTCTGCTTCCTCCTCTGAGAAACAAACATCATTTATCATTTTATACTATACTATTATTATTATATATATATATATATATATATATATATATATACATTATATTTACTTGTAACGTGTATTTTAGTCTCTTAAGTGTTTTTCGTGTATTTGTTTTTATGTGTTTTATTGTCTTTGCACATGTGAAAGCACTGACGAACTTGTTTTTTAAAAGTGCTCTATAAATAAAGATGATTATTATTATTATTACATACAGTATGGACTATACAGTGTACATGTTAAGGAGATGAATGTATATCTTAGGATTACATTCATTGGTCAGTTTTTCCATGCTCCATTTCTCCTTCATTTCATCTTCTTGATTAATCCTCAAACCTGTCCTCCAAAGAAAAACGACGATATAGGTTGTTTTAGCCACACAAAATTATGACTCATGTTTACGTCTATTATGGCAGTGACCTCTAGTGGCCGTACAACGCAAACACATGACAAAGACGGTTACTAGTGTTGCGTCGTTCAAAGAACGTTTTGTTCATTTGACCTAATCTTGTATACGACCCTCTCGATGGGTAGTATGTGGAAGTAATTTGTTCATTGTCACGCATACATTAATAGTCTTGGACTCTTATGTTCACTCGCCACAGCTGCATGGGCTCTGTCAGCACAGGAAACACAATTGATGAGTTCACGACACGTGACAGCTGCTTCTACTGTGGAGCAGAAATGAACTATTTGTTCACCACTCACATGGGTCCTCGTTCATTCGGCAGCCTGAGTGCGAGTGCCGGAGAATGAGAGGCAGGTCGATTGTCGTTAGGGTTGGAGGACTTGTTGAAATCCTCATATTACATTTCATACAATTCTTCTTTTCACCATGCCTTTATGTACTATGTTAGTTTCTTTATCACCCTAATAATACACAGATATACACTTTACTTCTCTATTATTTAGAATTAGTTAAGCATATGTTATGCATATTTTATCCTATTTTGCAATTTGTTTTCTTTTATAAAGGACTAAAGCACTTGACAGACATGGATAACACAATGTTACTAAAAATATGCAAATTTATACAAATGTGCAATTTTGTAGGAAGAAACAGTGTTACCATGACATGTCGTGTCACACAGAACAAACTAGGGATGCGCTGATCCAACTTTGTCTTTCCCAGTACCGATTGTGATACCTTAATTCTACCGATACTGAGTACTGATCCAGTGCCAGTGCTCTCTTTTCCTAAATGTTAAATCTGTGTACCTCAATGTGTGGAAATCATTGTTCACAATTTTTATTTCAGGTAACATAATGCTAATGATGCTATGGAAGCCTGCTATGACTGAATAAATGTAACTGACAGAAATATTGCAAAATAGATAGATTGCGCTACACGTTCTGCAGCAATAAGTCAGTAACAGTATCGATCTGGCATCATGCATCCCCATTACTAATTATAAATATAATAAGATATAAAAATAATTAAGCATAATAAATCTAAATACATATAATAATAAATATGTTAATAGTAATGCAAAAATATTTAAAGTTTGATCTCAATTACTGTAATAATGTTGTATCGTGCCTTGTACACAACGACCTGTATCATGAGGTTGTGAATTCACACTCCTCTGCACAGCCTTTGTGCTTTTCTCTCAATAATTCCTCCCACATATCATTTTCCCACTTGTCAGCAAGGATTTGTACTGCAATGTCTTACCTTCTGTGTTTCTGAGAGGAAACCTGGAGCCCAGCTCACAGCTTAGCTCTGCAGCCAAGTAGGAGAAGAAGCACAGCAGGAGGACAGACAGACAGAAAAAGAGAAGACAGGGTGACAGACAGACAGGTGGCCAAGTGGTTAAGAGACACATTATGAGACAGAGAGCAGCAGCAGGTCACCAGTAGACTGACCATGACAGCGCCTCTTCAGGTGTGTGATCTCCAGCTGCAGACCGGTCAGCATGGCCAGGTGCTCCTGCTTCAGGAAGGCGATGCCTCTCTCCACACTGGCCACCTGCATCTCCAGCCTCCCAGCATCCATGGCTGAACCCCCACACAACCTGCACACAGATGGTGGTAGCTGGATAATTTGGCACAAGGGATTTCCTAGTCCAGTTGTTTACAGTAAAATAGTGTCCCAATTTGAGCTCTGACATAGAACAATGCTTGGATATTATGTGGAAGTGTCAATTCCGTGCCAAAAAAAATATTTGCTTAAATTTTTCGCACCACTACTACTATATTATAGTGACTTTTTCTGCAACATTTAATATGTTTCTTGGGTTATTCCCTAGTAAGGTTATTTGCGAAATGCCTACTCTATGTAATTTAATCTTATTCAGCTTGATTTCTCGCCCATAGCTTTCAGATATATGCACCGATGGTCACTGGTGCTCGGCATCTACCTGTAACTGTGCGTCACTCTCTGTGACCGTGGCCTACCGTGATACTGAAGCGGTACCCTATTCAAAGCGTTTCTCATGGATCCTCGTATCGCCCCGGTATCTCTGTCCTTGATGCAGCAGAGATGGAGAAAACAAAAGACCCGTGCAAAACGTCCGGTGTGCAAAACGCCACGTTCCTTTTTTTCCCTTTAAGCTGTTTCGCTGGTCCAGCAGGTCGACGTTTTTTTCCCTCGGTTTATATGAATCTTGCTGCAGTCAAGAGTCGGAATAACCTCCTCTTAACCTTCTGGTTGTACGTGCAGTACGGTGCCGCTGCTGTAGGCTAATCACAACAAAGCAGCCTGGTATGGGGGGTGATTAGTGCCACGGTGCAGGAGGAGGTGGAGCTCCGAGACAAAGATGAGTTTCATTCCACCTAAATGTATATTTAGATTTGTTTTTTCACCAATCTTTTGGATGAGTTCATTCATCATGTGAGTGTATTAATTTTTTTTCATTGCTGCTGGTTGAAATGGTTTATACTGTGACACTGATCATCCCTTATATAGTTTATTTATGTTCAGTATGTTTGCTCAGTAGGTTACTTCAGTTCAGAATAAACAAAAAATATATATTTTTGGGCTTTTATGCCTTTATTTCAGACAGAATAGCAAAGACAGGCTGGAAATGAGGGTGGGCGAGAGGGGACAACATGCAGCAAAACATGCTGTGATAAGGACTTAGCCTTGTTCATGAGAAAGAATTAACTAATTTAAACTCAGTTCACCCACCAATGTTTTAGGCTATCAGTGCAAATTCTATCAGTCCGATATCATATACAGTATGAATAACATCTCTGTTAATGTGTTTAATTTATCACTAAATACCACCTGGGTGACTGATAACTCTACACAAGCACTATGACAGGTTGCATCCAAACATTTTCATCAGACTACTGCTCTTCTCTTCCCTGGTGAGACAGGAGATGATTTAGAGAGGCAGGTGAAGAGTGGAGGAGCTCAACCATGGCAGTTCACATACTTCAGAATCACATGCCATAATAAACGTCGTATAATTTGTTGGTGCTTCGTGACATACTGGTTGTAAGACATCATACCTGTGTTTGTGCAGTGTAATCTGGCCATCAGTGTAAATAATACACAAATATATTTTGACACAGCAGGTTAAATTAAATGGGATTTTTTCATCTGTTTCTTGTGAAATGGTTGACGAGGCCAAGCCTCTCCTGGCTGCTACCTGGCTTTTTCTCACTCATGCTGGGGAGCGCAACAGGCTCACTGTGCGAAGAGGTCTTGTAGTAAGGACAGACTTTTAGATGAGCAGATATGGGAGGGATGTCTGCCATACGCCACGAATCCACTGCGGAGAAGAGGTTACTGAACTCCCACACCTGGAGAAAAACAGGAATAGTCAGAAGAAGAGAAAAGGGAAACATGGATCACAGTTAGTATGGGAATTGTTATAAATAATTACAACGATGGATGAGTATATCTTACAGGTTTGGCCCTCCACTTGGCTCCCCCATGAGAGTAGGTCTTCCTCTCCCAGCGGAGGGTGACCATCCCTCTCTCCTGCAGCAGAGAGGAGCACACCTGTCTCATGAGCTGGGACACCAGAGCCAGCTGGGACAGGGACATACTGTCCAAGAAACTGGCCATGTGGCAAAGCACCTCATAGGGGAGCGAGCTCAAAGAGTCCTCCCCTCCTCCTGTCTGACCTATCCTCTTCCTCTGAGCGGTGGAGGAGTCCGCTGTGCTCCTGGGTGGCTGGGAGGCGTCACCTACTGAGGTTACAAGTGTCGGACGCAAGTTGAAACTCCTCAACTGCTGACTGCAGTGAAAAAATATACTATATATTAAAAGAAATGGTAGACCCAAATTTTTTAATCTGGACTGATGAATCTGAGTTGTGCTCACTTGTAGGAGACGGTGGCTTCATGTGTGGAGGGCCGGAATCTCCTCTGGCTGTAGGTGCACCCCAGATACGCTAAGGGGCATCTCTGCATGAACCATCCACTCAGACAGGTCTGAATGTCGCTGTGGATGTTCCTGGAAATTATATGATGATTAATACATTCATAAAACATGCCAAACATGTTCATCCACAGTTAAGGAAAAAGGCATTCTTTGCAAGGTGGTGGACAAATGAAAATCACAGTCAAAATAAAAATATTCTGCTCCTATTTTACATGAACAGTATTTATCCTACTGGTTGACATTTCCAAATGGTTGCATCCTTTTGGTAATATGCAATTGTTGAATTTTCAGTGACAAATCAAATTTTATTACTTTAATGTTGTACATTGAGATAAGAGTGCCCAATGACTGAAAGTGACATGTGACAGGAATAAGGAGGTCAGCGGGGCACCTGAAATGTGTGGCAAACTCTCTGCGGTGGAATGTGTGACCACAAACGTAGGTGAAGACACAGCTGGCTCTGTTGTGTCTGCTGTTCACACTCTCTGCCTGCAGCTGAAGATGAAGCTTCAGTGGTCTTTCCACCATCACCTCCGCAAGAGTTGTCTTCCCTTTAAACGGAGCTGAGCGGAACGAGTGTGTCTGTGTTCCCACGTCAACAAAGAGCCCATCGGCTGCATTCGATACGCTGATCTGCACGGACACCGATCAATCACAATACATGATTAATTCTAGTTAATGGACTATACCAGTGTTTTTACACATTTTAAGCCATTTAAAAGTATCGATGTAGTGCATACTCATTTGAAAAAGTTTTTTTTTTACCATACATTAGGAAGCCATTGTTTTCTCCTCATTTCCATAGTGCCTCACCATAAGTCCTCATAAATGTTAAAAGTATGCAGGAGTGAATTTTTTACTTTTCCACATTATATGAAAATCACCTTGCAGTAACTTAATTTGGTTTTGGTCAGGAAATTCACCACGGGGGAAATTCAAGTTTAGCAAACAAACTTGAAATCCAGCCATAGTGCTGTATACCTTAATAATATGTTGTATGGCATTGAACACAAATAAAACATGTTTAAATCATAAGAAGAAGTACTATCATCCTCTACATCTGGATATACTTCAGAGCGCTTTGCATTAGAAAAGAGAACCCTGTACAGTGAACATCTATATAAATATATTTGTATTACAGCTACATGGTAATGCAAAATTGAATAAATAATATATTTATTTGTATCTTATCCCTCATAATCATGTGGTGACCCCTCATATTTCCCAGGTTCCCAATTACTGAAAGTAAAGCAAGACAAGACGGCTGATGATTCTTCCACTAGGAAGATATCCTTGTGGGAAAACCATCTTCATTGCTCACAGTATTTTGTGAACCTCATTATCACACCACATAAATATATACATTAAAAAATGTATACCAAATTCTATACGTGTGTGTATATGTTTCAGGAAAGTCTAGACGGTCATTTCTGAAAGTCTCATGTAGTTCTCTTGGAGTTCCACTTTCATCTCCCTCATCTAGTCATATCTGCAGGTTTTATACTGTCATAAATATCTGACTGACCTTGTGACCCATGACCGCCTTTTCAGCGTAGCCCAGCAGGGTGGCTGTGGCCTCATCACTGAACCATTCTTCTTCGTTGACTCCAAGGTCGGATGTGTCCACACAGCGAGGCTCACTCTTGGCCCGCGCAGCCGTGTCGTACAGATGAACCCGCTGCCTGTAGTGATAGCTTACAGGGACCTTTAGTAATAAGGACAAGACAATATATAACATTAGAAGCCAGGAGAGTACAGTGGCCACATTATTATTAGGTCTGGTTGACTATAGTGTTGTTGATGCTTATTTTAAAGCTGCATCGGGAAACTTTACTTATTGGCGACTGCAGTTGTCAGTACATGGCAACTGTCTGTTCCTCTTTTGAAGATTACAAAAAAGTGAAGAGTCACATAACATTTACAGGCCCTTGGAGGCCCTCAGCCTCAGTTGGAAAAGGGTGTGGACAAGTACTTTGTTGCACCAATCAAGATTTAGTGATATATGAATCAAACCACACTATAGTCTGTTTGCAATGGAGCTGGTTTGGAGCACTGACTTGCAGCTTACAGTCAGCGCCATCTTTTGGACCTTCCAAATAAGGAGTGAGACATAACCCGTTCCCTTCAATCAAAGATTTACTGAAAACACTGGTCAACACACAGCCTGGACCATATACACTAATGCATGTACTTGTGCATGCATTAACACACACACATCCTCAAAAACATTTGACCTCCATGGCAAAATTCAGCCTTAAAGGTAGAAAGTTGCGGTTTCTATAGGGTGGGTACAGCTTTATGGACAAATTCAATTCCTTTTATAGGCTACTGTATACTTGGGCAAAGAAAATAGGACAGAAAAATTACTATAAAGGGCCGGGGCTAAAGTGTATGGGCTGGGCAAACAGTCACAAATGAAAGTGTTTGTGTGTATGTCTTTATGTAAATCTGTTTAGAAGTTATGCGCCCTTTTGCTATTGGCCACTCCCACTGCCACTTCCCCTTTTAACCAATTGGCATGAACACACACACACACACACACACACACACACACACACACTCTTGACCTCCCTGCCAAATTTCCACCTTCTAGGGCGAAAACTGTGGCTGCCAAAGGGTGAGGAAATATTTGTGGACTAACCAACCGACAGAATGAGCTATAGAGCTTCTGGTCACAGATAACACATGTAGATTGAAACCATTACCTTGAAAGAGCGCAGGGTCTGGACTTCGATAGGCTCCAAACTGCCATAGACAAAATCTTTCTCTCTTGGCGTACAGGCCTGGATGTGTCCGAAGGATAGCAGCATGCGCCCATGATGCACCATATACATGTTGTACTCCTGTGGGCTGAGATCCTGACTCAGACGCTCCATCACCCCCTCCTGCCACGGGGCGTGTCCTGACTTACTTGTGTCTGGTGTGTATGCAGCCTCTCCATCTTTCTCTTTGTCTTTGTGGTCTGCACATGTTTTTTTCGCCACGCTTTCCTGCCTCTGGGCCTTCACCTTCTCACCAGGTTTTTGTTTGGAGTTGTCTTGGTTTGCCTGAGCGGTAGTACAGCCGCCTCTCTCCATGCCAAACATCATCTCACACAGATTGTATTTCTCTATGCTGATGCTTTTATCCACAGTGTTATGTGCAGTCTCTACAGCGACATTAGCCTCACTTGCGCTGTTTTCTGCAGGAACAGATGTGGGGAGAAATATAAAGACAAGAAATGCAAAGACAACAGATTTTTCTTATTTTAGGTGTTTAAAGTATGTTTAAAATTTAAAAGATTGGTCACTAGAAGTTGCATTATGTGTATGCCAATGAAGAGTTTTGCTCCAAGAAAACTGTATATTGAACGATTTTACTCATTGTCTCAAAATCAAGACATGATTTAAACCTAAAAGAAATCTTCAGTAATTCTCTATAAAATTAAACATTCATGATTAAATAAGCAGCAATGACAGAAAGGTATTATTTATCAAACGTTAAAACTCAGCTAATCTGCTTCTTCAGGACTGTGTTGGTGTGGCTTGATCATATTTGATTGACAATGACCCACGAACTGTCATCTGATTCTCATTTAAAAGTTGCTCATTCCTGATTGGTGCACAGGAGTATGTGACATCACGTTGTTCTTGAGCCCTGCCCACCTCAAACCAGTGAGAAGAGCTCTGAGAGAAAAATAAATACAGTAATCTCTCCTGTGAAATAACCAAAACTGTTCTAACTACGGCAGAAATGTGTACCACTTCACTTACAGTTAAGAGGCTGATTGAGAAAACATTTTCATGTTTCAGGTTTTCAGGGCCTTTAATAAAAGTGAATCTTCGCTAAGGTGGTTAATCTCATGTTGGCCCAAAACAGCGTTACTATTTACCTTCATTGGTATCTTCGTTTGCGATGCCATTGACTAACCCTCCCACTGCTATCTCCTCTTTCTTCTCATCTTGTGTTTCCTCCTCTTCTGCCTCCATCAGCTCTGGATAGAGGGGCTTCATTTTCAGGCGGCTGTAAAGGTCTGACTGATCAACCAGGGCCATGGCAAGATCCAGAGCCTCCACTTGCCCCTCATTTTCCTTCATCACATTCTCCTGCAAGGCCATATTGCTGTGTGGGTTTGTGTCATCAATCGGCCAGCGGAGCCACTCCATGGAGCAGCACACCACGCTGGCCGGACACACCTGAAGGTGAGCTGCCCGGGAGGACCGAGGCAGGTGGACTGGACAGCCGTACTCAGCGTTGAGGCAGGGCACCCTCACGTTAGGGCAGAGCAGCATGTGATCCTCCTCTTTGCACAGGTGGAAGAGAGCGCCACAGTGCAGACGGCAGGGGATAACCGCACAGCACACAGAGACTTCCACCCGGGCCCTGCAGCGCCGACTGTAGCAGGAATCACAGTGGATATGCTGTCGCAACCTGGAGGCACGAGAACGATGACTCTGATTGGATGAGAAAGAAGAAGAGAGGAGGCAACTAGGATGGAAGAATTATTAACTAATAATTAAAGAAAGATTTACAACGTGGAAATACAGCATATTAAACATTTACATCAAGACTGAAGCATGCCTAATCTTTAATACATCAAGAATTATATCTGGAAATGACTCACCATTTTACAGGAAATTTTGTAATCCTGGAAGAAAAACACCAAAAATTTACTCACATATTCATACTTTATTCTGTAACAGTAAAACAATGTCTACTCGTGATCCATTGACACCGCTCGCATATGTCAGATTATTATGACAAGGTCAGCCAAAGAGTGACTGTTCCCCCCACTAATGATATTTAGATGCCTAAAGTGGTTCACAGTAGCATGAATGTTTTCCTTTTTCTACCTGACACCCAGACTGTTACACCATACAAGAATGGAACAAAATGTAAGTATTCCATGTCCTTTCTGTGAAATTAAGATTTGATATTCAAAGTAAACTGTACAGTAGATACCTAAATAGTAGTATTGTTAAGTTTTGTGTCCTATGGCACTGTAAATCTGGCAGTTTAAAATCTCAGACAAGTACCAAAAGCAAATGAACATTTAACCTCTACGGTTTTATTACTTGTCCAAGTAGTTTTCACTGTTCTGCTTACAATATAGATCAACAAAAACGTTATCAAAGTATTCACAAGGGGATCAAACCTTATCTAGACAAAGGTCTTACCAAGGTGCCACCGCAGACAAGTTGTTTTCTCTTGTTATAACGTTGCTCTCTGTCCCTGTGCTCTTTGAGCTGACAGGTTAAAATTAGCCAAGCAGCACCAAACAGCTTCAGCAGGAGACGTAACTCCCCCCCCCCAGTTTCTCCCTCCGCTGCAGTGGATTCAAGCTACAGCCACCAAACTCCTTCAATCTGGGGTGGGATGACCCTGTCTGAATATCTGTTTCCAGTAAAGTATAAACAGTTAATCTTTTGTTGAATGACTGCAATGAAATCCACACTGACAGTGTTTTGGCAATACTTATTTCTCCACTAGAGGACACTGTTAGGATATTAAATACAACCTCTGCAGGTTGATATAAATTGTATGCAGCTCCACAATATGAGAGAGAGAGATTTACTGATGCAAGTGGCTGCGTGCGGTAACCTAAACCATGTTTCTGACCACCTGTGAAACATTTCTCAGTCAGTACTTAGCTCTATTTATAACACACACAAATAGCGTAGACACACGCACTGACACTTTGGTCTTTCAAGCACAAGACGGAGTGCAAGGAGAGCGTTTCTCTCCTTTCCAGTCTGTAAGTCACTGTTCCTATTGACTCTAATGACACAGGACTGCTAATATTCTCCCGTAGTGTGTTGACATGCAGTTTCTTTTCAAGTTGATTGTACTGTAAGTACTGTACTTCTCTGTTTGCAGGACAGATAAGAAACTGGTGCCAGAGGATCTGAAGCATGGTATTGTTTTATTTTGCAATTGTAACATCAAGTGTTGTTAAACAAAGTCGGCTTTCCACTTTTAATCATATAAGTAGCTTTAAGGTTGTTAAAATCAACTTATTCCACACTGTTTGACTATATAATATACAGCATATTCTTTTTTGGCTCTTGATTGAAGCTATATAATAGATATGAAATATTCAAATCCATGTCTGAACCATTCCACCAATTCCCCAAATTCAGCCTCATATATTTAGTATAAATCTGATCCTGTTACCCTTTTTCCTCACTAAACTCAATCAGAGTCATCGTTCTCGGGCCTCCAGGTTGCGACAGCATGTCCACTGTGATTCCTGCTACAGTCGGCGCTGCAGGGCCCAGGTGGAAGTCTCTGTGTGCTGTGCGGTCATCCCCTGCCGCCTGCACTGTGGCGCTCTATTCCACCTGTGCAAAGAGGAGGATCACATGCTGCTCTGCCCTAACGTGAGGGTGCCCTGCCTCAACGCTGAGTACGGCTGTCCAGTCCACCTGCCTCGGTCCTCCCGGGCAGCTCACCTTCAGGTGTGTCCGGCCAGCGTGGTGTGCTGCTCCATGGAGTGGAACCGCTGGCCAGCCAACGACGGCCTTTCTAATCCGAACACAGCACTGCATGAAAACCTGTTTTTGGAAAGAGAGCAAGGAGGATGTCTGGATCTGGCCATGGCCCTGAAAGATCAGGACCGCCTGTTTCACTCCATAAAGATGAAGAAACTGTTTCCGGAGCTGGTCCAGAGTGTGGAGGAGGAGGAGAAAGAGGAAGAGAGGAAAGAGGAAGAGAGGATGAAGGAGAAGCAAAGGCAGAAAAAGGCCACCATGGAGAAGGAGGCAGCAGAAAGGGCAGCTGCAAAGGAAGCCAGTGGTCAAGCCTGGGAGCCTTTTAACATGTTTGACGTCAACACCCCTGATAAAAAAGACAATGAGGATGAAGATGAGGTTGAGGTTGAGCTAACCCTGGAGGAGAGAGAGGCTATTGCCAGGGGCTCAGGAGTGAATGCTGATTTGTTGGAAAACTATAGCGCTTGGGAGCGCATGTTCAGTATGGAGATGGGTGGCTGCAGGGTAGCTGAAGGGGCAGCTGTGGCCAACAAAGGCAAAGAACTGGCTAAAGGGAGAGGAAACGGCCTGGACACTCTCACAGAGGAAGATATAGCAGATACCTACATGGGGGCCACAGCATCAAACACCCACAAGAAGGTGAGCAGTGCATACATTGCTTCCACATCCTCCTCTTCCTGTCTCGCCGGAAATCTGAAGAAGAAATTTGTGTACGGTCATCTGGAGCCAATGAAGATTATCACTGTGCGTACCTTTAAAATCCCAACCAGCTTCTCTGCCAAGCAGAGCCGTATCCGCAACCCTGGTTTCTACAAAAGGGAGAGTCAAGCTGTGGATACAAGTGACCTGGGGGTGGCGCTAGAGGAGATGCCAGTGTGGGAGGAAGTTCAGGTGAGATACAGAAATACATCCTCCATATAATTTTTTTAATCCATCGCACTTCTTTAGATATAAAATGTCCTTTTTATTACCTGTAACAATTGAGTTTTGGGCTACTTGGAGGCAACAGGAACAATTTATGAACATTACAGTGACATATCATCACCTTATTAAGTTAAAATTACAAACCTGTTAGCAAACAGTTGCCTGTTTACACCTCCAGCAGACAAACATAGTATTGATTTGTAGTCTTGTATCTGGCCACCTGGTGAATGTAAGTCCAATATTAGCTCTCCTTTTAGATCCGATTTTGGTCTCCACCATCTCATGAGGAAAATAGTTCAAGTTCAATTTCTGTCGTGTTGAACAGGTAGTTTGTACAGCATAAAGCTTTTTCACTGAAAACCACTGCCTGCTGTGTCCAAAAACAATGCTATGAGTGAGACTGAACAGTATAAAGTTGTGGCCAAGGGGAGCTGCTGAGTCGAATAATAATTCTCTGAGGACTCATCACTACAACTGACCCCTTTTACATTACACAATCATTTCATATAGAAAATGTATTATTGCCCTTTAAATTAATAAATGCTTGCATTTTCCTGATGGTCTGTCAAGAGTGAAACTTTCATTTTATTTAAGTTCATTTTTACTTGCTTCAAAGGAACAATTTCAAGACAAATTCACAATATTTTTAAACCATTGTTGGAACAATTAGTTGATTAATCAGTGTGTCAATCAATAGAACATTAATCCCAACAATTTATCATTTAAGTCAATTATCAAAAAATGGGTTTTGGATTGTTGGTTGGCAAAAAACAAGTAATTTAAAGATTGTCTCTCTTTTTTAACAGTTATTTTTGACATTTTATAGACTTTCTATTGTGAGAGAAAACATGATTTTCTCTGATTATTGTAAGTCACAGGACACTTTGAGCTACATCTCTAGATTAAATGAAGGCCTACCAAACATTCTGGTGCATCACAAGCTGTTTGTGACATGGTGTGATTAATAAATATTCATCTTTACATGCAAAGAAGAGCAGACAAACAGATGTTGCCTATTTTCTGACATAAAGAGGATCTTCTTCTCTGGAACTAGGGCTGAATGATTTTGGAAAATAATCTAATTGCCACCAATATTTAACCTAACCATTTAACCAATATTTCAATTGCGATTTAATATGCCATTAATTTTTAAGCTCTTTACCTTCTGTATTATTCAAAACGGACAAGCAGTAAATCAGTGTATGGTATGACCAACACGAAATTAGATAGATTAAACATTCACTGTTCTTTCTTGATGGTCAGACCTGTGTTATGATGAAATTAGATGATGCATGAATTATTATTATGAGCAATGGTGGAGAAGATGTATCAAATTTTAATAATATGAGAAAGGTAATTGGAGATTCAGGTCATGGCATTAATTGAACATAATATAATATCATCAGGTCGGCCTAACTACAGACCACAATAAAAACTAGGTTCACCACAGTGTATTATACAGTACGCGCACAGTACAAAACCCACAGTTCAACCACCAATTAACGAGTCCTTATCAAATCTCCTAGGAGTCCATCTTACCATATTCCAGTAAGCAAACAAAAAAAACTCAGTTTGAGGTTCAATTCAAAAGTTGGCCAATGAAAATAAAACCAAGTGACTCCTCTCGTGTTTAATAGACAAGCTTAGTAATTCTCCGACAACACCGGAGTACCCACCTCCCCTGCAGCCTCTGATACTGGTAAGCAGCGCACTGGCTGTAACCAAGTTGTAACTCGGGACAGACTGAGCCTCTTTCGGTCGTTTCACAGATATTTCCTTATATTACCTTACTACACGTGTCTTTTCTGTGCATTTTCCTGCTGTAGTGTCAGCTTCTGTCAAGTTTAAGGGCATTGTACAACAACAAGTCAAGGTACAGCGTAAGGTGCGAAGTTGATGTACCGTCTGCAGACTGCTTTACTCTTAGGTGTGACCATAATCGCAGCCTTTGCGATTAGAAAATCACATGCGAAAATATCGCAAATGCAATTAATCATTCAGCCCATCTGGAACATTGTTCAACGTAATTATTAAAGGAAGGAAAAATCTAATGTGTTAAGTTGGGATAAGTGTCGATGTATTGATAGTTGCAGCCTTGTTATAATAGGACACCCTAATTTGGTTTCTTTTAAGAGAAAAAAACACTCAAAGACATTAAATGGCTTGCTCAGATGAGTTCAGAGCCATCATGTTTGTTTAATACCTCCATAACTCAACATTCACTCTTAATAAATAAGCTGCAGGTAAAAGTGCCCACAAACATACTAAATATTAACCGGTTGATATGCTCCTCAGGCCTGTCTGCTGTGCTCCCTGGAGAAGGAGCTAAGGGGTCACCTCATTGCAGAGAGCGTATGCACAGATGGTCTGTTACAAGATGAAGGCACACAGACCTACAACTTCCTGTCTGCTCCTTTCCGGAGAAACACGTCGCTGGCTGACCTGACCACTGCAAAACCGCTGGAGCTGCACCTTCAGCTGCAGTTGGAGAGCGTCACCAATAGACACCACAAGGCCAGTTCCGCCTTCACCTTCCTCTGTGGACACACCTTCCAGCGCAGAGAATATGGCAAACATTATAAGTGGGTTTTTCTTTTTCTTTTTTATCCAAATATCCTTTGGAATACATATATTTTTAATTCCTGCCTTCACAGGAGGCAATTAACAAAGTACACTGTAGTCCCAAAATATATATAAATATATGTATATATATAATATTTATTTAGTCATTTAAGATTCAACTAAGATAAGGACAATATTAGTGACTTATATTTCTAGTACCATCATTATTACTGTATTCTATTCTGTAGGAATTCACTGAACCAGTCTAATTTGTTCTTATCCACTAAACACCACCTGCCTGGCATTACAGTGACATGAAAAAAACGCTCCAAATGAACTTAATCAATGTCACTCATCATGTCAATAGTGGCTTTAATGTTAAATACATTGTGTCAAAACAACACTCAATAATTGTTTAATCAAGTTTTATCAAATTTTATTTATATCAAAATGCTCTCCTATGAAGGAACATCCACAGTGACATCCAGATGAGTTTGAGCGGATGGTTCGAGCAGAGATGCCCCCTGGCATACTTGGGATGCACCTACAGCCAGAGGAGGTTGCAGCCCTCTACACATGAAGCTACTGTCAGCTACAAGTGAGATAAAACTAATAGTACATCTTTATTGTTGTGTGGTACTGATGCACATGTTTTGCAAACAAATTCAGCTGTGAAAAAGGGAATTTTAATTTGATGTACAGGAAATATTTTAAATAGAGTCTTTTTCTTTTACCTGTTGACCAACAGGAGTGGCAACAACACTGATAATGACTGTCTTCAAGTAGGGAAGAGCAGTGAATTAGAACTGAAGTCCTGTGGAGTTGCATCCCTTAACTCTTAGCACGGCCCGATAATACAGAGTAGTGTGAAGAATGGGCCTGATGTTAACGTTTATAGTGTCATCTTTGATTCTCTATTGTTGTTCAACAATTCAATTAATCCCCTGCAGATAAATTACAACAGTTTCAACTTTGCTTTCAGTGAGGATCTGGGCTGCTTTAGCCTGCGTCCCACCATCCCTGTCTCTCTGGATGTCGCCTCCCAGCCGTCCAGGAGCACAGTCAACTCTTCCACCACTCACAGAAAGCATGGTAGTCGGGCAGGAGGAGGGGAGGACTCTTTGAGCTCGCTCCCCTACGAGGTGCTGTGCCACATGGCCAGTTTCCTGGACAGTCTGTCCCTGTCACAGCTGGCTCTGGTGTCCCGGCTCATGAGACAGGTGTGCTCCTCTCTGCTGCAGGAGAGAGGGATGGTCACCCTCCGCTGGGAGAGGAAGACCTACTCACATGGGGGAGCCAAGTGGAGGGTGAATCAGAGGGTAAGAGCCAGGCTGTCTGTCAGAAGAATTTATGAAGAGTGACAGTGTGTGTTGCTTTCATCAACAACATATGGGCAGTTTAAAGTATGTCAGTGATGTTGCTTGAAATCACATTTCATTTTCAGTGATAGTGACACAGTGGTGGGAAACAAGTAAGTACATTACAATTATGTACATTAAGTACTTTGTATTTCAGTATTTCAATTTTAAACTACTTCATACTTCTATTCCACTTAATGTCAGAGGGAAGTACTGTGCTTTTTACTCATTTACATTTACCTGACAACGTTCGTTACATGTTACCTTACATGATTGTATATGATTATACATATACATAGATTAAGTAAGAAATACCATACAGTGTGCCTGTCAGCAGATCAGTATGTATGCATTGTCTGTGTGAGTAGTGAGGAGGATGTGCATGCGTGTGAAACACAAAGCCCAAACAGAACAATGTGAGTTGGCAGGCCAGAGGAAAAGAATGAGAGGATCTTGCAGGTCTGATTTATAGCCTCCTGTGCCTAGCCTACTTGTGTTGCCTCTCTGACAAGGGAAAAAACACCACCAACAGGCCAGAACAAGATAAGGCCAACCCTGAGTCCGTTTAAAAAAATAAATCAAATGTTCCCAACCATTTTGGCCAAAAATTATCCAACATTTTATTAGAGGAAAGGTACAGCAGCACATTGTTTTTTTTCTTTTATCCCCCATTAATCATCTCATGTGGGTTTCATAAAGTGACATGCAGATGCCTCTCTGTCACTTCAGGTATGGCAGTTCAGCACCTTGTTCTCTCCTGTGGACACTTGGTCCTTCCAAGACGTGCCGTCCATGTCTGAGCACCTAAAGGTGTGTCCATGCTATGAGACAGAGTCCAGGACAGAGAAGATTCACCTGCCGCGTATCAGGGAAGAAGTTCAAACCAAACCAAGCTGCAAAGGCCCCACGCTGGTTAACTTGTTCCAGCAGAAGAGGATCATGATGTAATATAAAGCACTGACTTGCTAGTGTACGCTGCTCTAATCTGTTATTATCATACATGTAGCCTCATGTTGTCCCCTCTTTTTCTTCCTGGTATTCATAGTCAAGTAAAAATAAAGAAAATCAGAACGCACACACATCTAAATCTAACTTTATTAACAAAAAATGTCAGAATAGCATTCAAGGTAATTATGTCCGAACGTAAATAAAGGTAATCAGGATGTCTGATGTTTTGATTCAGGTGTTTCTATTGCAATGACAAATGTGTGGTTGTAAAACGAAAACATTCACACTGTTGTGTTTTTAATCAGGAGCCATTTTGCTTCACAGACAACTCTTCTAATAACTTGTACAGTGCATCTATACACATGAAATGCAGTAACAATTTGTCATTGTAAACACTGAAAATACATTTTTGGAAAAACACAACATGAATACCTTAGTGGTTGCATATAATGATGTCCCTTCAACAAAAAGCTTATCATTTCTTGAAACAGTTAAGTTATGAAATTTAATTAAAGGATCTGTGAAAACAACTGATAATGATAATTGATAAAATGATAAACTTAATGCCCGCAAAGTTTATTAGCATTCTGCTAATGTTTTCTTAATCTTTTGTCTTGATTATAATGACAAACATTAGAAGCTACTATCAAACACTATAAGTTATTGAGGTCCTCAGGTCCTCAAACCCCTGTTCACCCACATCATGACGGAGAAAACTAAATCGATAGTCATTTTTGACCAGGAGAAACAGCACTGGCTCCCTCTTGTGGTTCTTGCTGGTGTTGTGTGTGTAGGTGAGCATGTCTGCTCTGAGCTTAAAACAGTTCATGGTGGTGATGAGACTCAGGTCTACAGTCATCAGGATGTACGAGAATGCTTTTGAATGAACTGCATAATGAAAGTATTAGTGTAGTATCCAATACAATAGTTTTTGTTTTTGCAAAGCTTGAGTTATTATTTTTGTACATTGCACATATTCTTCATACTGTGAACAATTGCACATTCTTTGCAATGACCAGAATGTTTACCTCAAATCCATAATCAGATTTTACCCGAGAACCTGGCGCCTTGAGGTCATTTCAAATCCCATGTGCTCCTGTGCTCATGGTACAATTCAGCTGAGAGAGCACCATCTGAAATACACTCAGAGGAAAGAGAATGAAAAACAAGCTGCTGAAGTCTCTTTCTAACATTCAGTGATCTGTAAACAACCCCTGCCCTCTTACACATCCCTTCACTCATATGAAGTAATAAACTGATCACTGACAATGGGTGACTCTGTGACATATCATTGGGTCATGATTCCCTACCTGGCCAAAAGAAAAGTTCAACGCACACACTGTTTTATTCCCTGTTTGCTTCACCCAACAAGCTTGACATTATGATGATAAGAAGAAGCAGGTGTCCAGTTCTAAACATTGGCTATAATACAGGGCAACTATGGGTTCATATTCAGGTTTAGCCACAGGTGATAACAAGCAGAAAGTGAAGCAATGTGATGGTTAGACAACACTAATTAATGTAAAAAGGAAAAAATATCAGTGTTCTTCATTGGAAACTCTTATATTGCATACTTAATTTTAATACCTTTAAAATGTTTGCATGTTTAGCTCACCTGCAGTGCAACAAAAATGCCCTCTGGGTAAGAAATCGCGATTAATTGGAATTCATTGTTTTTCCTATCAGCCTAGACATTACTATGTATTTAAATTTGACATATGAGTTGCTTTAAAGAAAATTAGAATAGATTAAAGGACACATGAAATAAAGAATTATCTTAACCTCATAAAGTAACACACTAATGGTACATCTACTCAAGTTAGTAAGTAACTTTAAATCTGTAGGCTACTACCCCTCAAGAGCATAGACGTCACAAAGTGCTTCACAACTGAAATAAGGCAGCCACCAGAAAGAAAACACCATAGATTAGACGAGAATGGAAACGTTTCATAAGCTACCTGGCAGAAGACATAGATAAATTGATGAACAAATAGCCCTACTTATTTAATTCCGAAATGGGCCATTCAGCATAATTAGTACTTTTGGCACTTGGAGTATGTTTAGTGCTACTACTTTTGTAATTTTACTTTTAGAATTTGAATGCAGGACATAGTAGGCTATTTCTAAATTGTGGCATTACTACTTATAGCCCACTTGAGTAAAACATGAGCAAGCCTACTTCTTCCACCAGTGCCCATTTATGCTAGGCCTATTAGGTTTTAACATTTAGGCTAATACAACTTTTTAATCCTTGGGCTTTGCAGTGGTGAATCTTGTAACTTGATACGATGTGTGGATGGCAGTCGTTGTGCTTTTGTCGCGTGTCCATTCAGTATGTGCTGCTGCTGCCTCGTCAGCCTTTCTCTATGCTGCCGTTGTGAAACACAAAAGACCACGATCGCCTTTCTCTGCAACAATAACGGGGCTGAACATGACCTGTGACATCACCCGAACTGTTCACTGTTCACCGGAGACCCAAAAGTAACCTTTTTTCTGGTGGATTTTGCTTCCTCGTATTAAACGTCATCCACTTTTCACAGTCTAGGATTGAGGGTGGAGGGTTGGGGATGGACCGTTTGCCGTGGGAACGGACTCCTATCCCATCATTGAGCTGATGAGAAGAAAACAAACTGCAAAGATAATCTGAGTAACTTTTAATGTTTCTGGGGTTGTTTCGTGTATCTTTGTGGTGTTACAATTGAATCAAAGATGTCTGGGACCAAACCACGTGAGTAATTTGTAATGTCTGAACAACAGCAGCAGTTTGATATCAGATATTTTATTGATCTGTCACTTACTTGCTTACATTTATTCATTTAGCTGACGCTTTTATCCAAAGCGACTTACAATTGCTATTTATGTCAGAGGTCACAACTAGGGGTTAAGGGTCTTGCTCAGGGACACAATGGTGGATGGCTTACAGTGGGAATTGAACCCTGGTCTCCCACATCATAGGCAAGCATCCTATCTATGCGCCATCACCACCCAATTTTAAGACGTTTAAGATTATCTGAGATGAAAGAAATGATCTGTATCATTAATGCATTTGATGCAGGCTAGTTTTCATTTTATTTAACATGTTCAGCCCATGATGAGTTTCCAGACTCTGATCCAGAGGAGCTGACAGAGGTGGTGTGTCTGGAGTCAGACCTGCAGGATGGACAGTAAGGATGGGAAGGGGGGTGGGGTGTTCACAACTTGGCAACCGAAAGCCTGTTACTTTTTATATCATGACTTGATACTGATATATAAAGTCATTTATGAACCATTAATCAACACATGATGATACACACATGTAACTAAACCAAACAAACAAACCAACATCCTAAAACTGTTGTAATTTACACATCATTAGGCCTACTTATTATTAATATGCTATTTAAAGCATTTATATGGTTTATGAACTATTAACCAAACAAGACTAAGAGTCTACATACATGCTAGCTTCTCTGTGAGCCTTTATTTAGACACCTTGAGCTAAATGCTAACATGCTCTCAGTGAAAATGTTAGCATGCCGATGTTTAGAAAGTATAAAGTCTACTATGTTTGCTAATTAACTCTACACAAAGATGCCAACAGCTAAGGGTTGATGGGAATGTCATTGGTTTTATTGATTTTAAATATTGGGCAAAATTTAAATTTTGACCTGATGATGGTGCTAAATGAAAAGTTAAGAGATCACCATCTATAGTTCATCCTGAAGAGGACATGAGGGTGTCTGTACCAAATTTAATGGCAATCATTCCAACAGTTACCATAAATGGCAACCTCATGATTGCGCCAGAGGAAAAGTCGGGTGATCGGGAAAGTTAATAGGATCTATTCTCTGTGGACCATGAATGCCTGTACAAAAGTTTATGGCAATGAGTCTAATAGTTGTTAAGATATTTCAGTCAGGATCAAAGTGTTGGTCAAACCAAAACCCGACCGACAGACCTAAGTATGCTAGCATCACTAAAAAATAAGCCTACAGTCACCCACCTGAATATACAAACTTTCACCACAGAGTTTACAAATGTTTGGGTTAACATGACAGAGATCACAAGTATAACATCTCCACTATGAATAATATAAAATTCCATAGAGATAAAAATCTCATGTGGGTGAAAGATTATTGCAGTATTTGTATCTGTATGTGTGTGTGTGTTTCCTCAGGATGAAGGAGGTTGAAGTGGGACACCACAGCCTGCTGTTGACTCACAGCGAGGGCAAATGGAGTGCCATTGGTAACCAGTGTACTCACTACGGCGCTCCGCTCAGCAAAGGTAAAAAGTCACGAGGTGTGGGTTTGTGAAATTAAATGAACGGATGAAACCAACTTCATCCTAAATATGCTTTACTTTTGTGACACAACTTCATTCATAATTTCCGTGAACAGAATGATTCCATGTGACTCCGTTTAGAGGATGGGATGCTTTCACCTGAGCTGTACTTATATGTATCATTTAGGCACAACGGCTTTAAAGCCATAGTTCACATTATAGTTTGATATGGAAACAGTGTTTTAAATTACTGCTACCACTTGGCAGAGTATGAGACAGTAAATTATGTGTGTGTGTGTGTTCAGGGTTTATTTCAGGCCACACAGTGCGCTGCCCGTGGCACGGCTCCTGTTTCAACGCCCATACAGGAGATCTTGAGGAGTTCCCTGGCATGGACTGTTTACCCTGCCACAAGGTACAAACACACAGGCAGACAGACAGACAATTACCTTATGAGGACATTTGCTGTCATTTTAATAGTTTATTTTTTTCTCTTTTGAAGGTCAAAATTCAAGACAGCAAAGTGTATGTGACTATCAACAAAAAGGTTAGTAGGTTCACTTTTCTTGCTTCCTGTCTCATCTTGTCATTGTAAATTTACTATGTTCATTGTGGAAATAAGGGCGTATGGTAGATTTGGTAGTAGAGTTTGTGAGGGCTAATATTTTGTATTTGAATTCAATAATTTTAACAGTATTTTTGCACTTAAAGTGGTTTATTTTAGACTGGCACCTGCTGTTCTGTTGAGCTATGCAGGGAATTAAATAAACTTCAATTACTAATAACAATAGAGCTGGGTCTTTAATCAATCTACACTCTTTATGTAACAGGCACGCAGTAGTATACTTATAGAGAGCAGTAAATGGACACTGAAAATTGGATATTTAAATACACTTAATATAATCATCATTTTGTGTTGTAACTGTCAGGTGTCGACTTTATAAAATCTTTAAAATGCTGCACATTGCATTGTGGGATTGTTAATAGAAAGTGTTACAAAATAAATACCATGGATATTACTTTTTCTGTCAGCCCCTTTTGATGTGCCCTCTGTGCTTTTGAGTGCACTGTGTAGAACATTATGTTTAATACTCTTCAGACATTCAAATAAAATGTTGGAGGGTAAATAAATAGTACTATTTAGTAAATACAGAGTGATTTCTGACACGTTTTACAAAGCAGACATTTTGTCATAGAGGGAAAGGTGTTATTAATGATGGCTCTGTTGCATTAAAGTGTACCAGTAAGCTGTGACAGTGAGCCAGCATGCACAATACCAGGACCATGAAACCGAAGCAGCTGTGGGTAGACGCTGGCTGTGTAGGGGCATTTAAGACCAACATTCATACAATCAATGAATCCATTAATAGTTTACATGCACAGTTAGAGAGTACACACATATAGGAATCCTGAAAATGGGATTTATTGTAGATGACTAATACAGTATATTTTTATTTGTGAACAATTGATAATTCTTCCTGTTGATGAGTGTCTATGATGGTGTGTTTATACATTATTCAGACTCTCAGGCAGGAAAAAAGAGTAAAGAGGATGGGTGCTGCAGTGCCAGAAGTTAATCACACTGTCCTGCTGCTGGGAGGAGGTGAGTGTGGACAACTTTATACACGTGCGTGTGTATGTGTAATGCTGTAATTTAAAGCTGAAACAACTGGTTGATTAATCGATAAGGTGACTGACAGAAAATGAACCAGTGATTATTTTCATAATAATTGATTTGCTGCTTTTCTGTGTTTTTTTAATCATTGCAAATGTAATATATTTGGGTTTTGTGCTGTTGGTGGGACAAAACAATACTTGCCTATTGTAACAGGCATTTTCAGTATTTTCTGAAAATTATATTGGTCATGGTTATATCACTTTATTAGCAGTTCATAAGTATAAAAAACCAACATTTTAACTACAATCCGAACTAAAAGTAGAAATTAGGACCATACTAATCCTAAATATATACAATCATGGCACTTGGTAATATTCTTTACATGGTAACCAGTACAAGTAAAAGTTCATGAGATATTGTATGGTGTATTGATATAGCGTGGTGCTTCATCAGAGATGTCTAGATAATGATTGGGAATAACTACACAGTAAATCTATCTACACACAGTTATGTACAGCTATGTACATTACATTATCTCTCTATTATCTATAAGCTATGTAATTGTGTATGAAAGTGGACAGTAAATATTATTGGATGAGCAGATGAACTGAGATAATTACGTAATATAATGAACGCCATGTAGTGTGTGTTAAGAGTTTGTACTAATATGTTTCCTCAGCCTGTGTGATGGTGTGTTAACTCTCTGTAAGCGCAGGGGCTGCGTCATTGATCTGCGCTGAGACTCTGCGGCAGGAAAACTTCGGTGGCAGAATTATCATGGCCAGCCGAGACGAACTTCTCCCTTATGACAAAACCCGCCTCAGCAAGGTGCTGCAGAGTAAATGACGTGACACGAACACCAACAATTTAGTAAAATTTAGTGATGATTTAGTGTGTGCTTGTTTTTTATTGACCACTATTACTTAAACACACAAATACCCTGCACCTGTCTTGCAGGTAATGAATGTGGAGAGTGAGAGTATTCTGCTGAGGAGGATGGAGTTTTACCATCAGTACGACATTGAGGTGTGGCTCAGGAAAGAAGTGAGTTCCTTTTCCATTTATGGATACTCATATCTTCACCCTTGTTTTATAATTCCTAAACTTACTTGTGACTGCATTCTACACTTGATACTTTCGTATTTTGAACTAATAAAATTTTCATCTTGCCCTGGGAACTGAGAGTGGACAGATCGATACTGCTTCGGTTTTGAAGGCTGCATTGTGAAACTGAGTGGAGTCTTCCTGTTATTACAGGCGCTGTCACTGGACACAGACAAGAAGACCGTCACATTTGATGACGGTTCAGTCCAGAGCTATGACCAGCTCCTCATCTCAACAGGATGCAGGTACAGACAAATACACACACAATTGACCAAATGTATTATCTATGCTTGAAAAAAACAACAACAATTAAATGAAACTACCATTTAGTTGATCTCCCTACAGTGTTGCATGACAGGGCAGAAAACTTTTTTCCATTTTCCCCTCAAATATCCTTTGATTTTCAATTTGTTTTGCAGTACAGAAAAGCCTAAGTTACCTTAGATCATTACTGAACCACAATGGTGCTTGCAATTGGGATCTAAATATTCTGGGAACCCTCTGCAGGCTACTCAGTAGTTAGACTGAATAGGTTTAAAATGATTTGTCAGACCGTAGTATATTCAGCTATACTCCCTGATCCAAATACAGTAGTGCTAACCCTAAACTGACTTTCTATTTGTATTTCTTTATATATTTCAGGGGTACAAAATCAGGGTGTGTATCTTTAAATATTTTAAGAATAACAAAAACATGAACATGGATTGGCTTTAGACAGCTTCTTGGCTCACTAGGGCTTCGTTTCCCATAAGCAATTTTAGGATAGATGTTTATAAAATCCATCTTACAAACCTTCTTAAGCTTAAGAGGTGTTTCCCTAAAGCATCATAACTGAAGACACTGTAGGAAACTCATAGGAGGCTAAGAAGCTCCAGATCCAGCAGGAGGAAGCAATGTTTTATTTAAGTTTTTATTGTTTTTGTTCATTTTTAAGTTTTATCATGAACACTAATGGTCTTTGACAGTATGGTAGATATTCAGAAATATATTCAGAAATTACATTATGATATTCACAATAGATGACGTACTCAATATTCAATGAAAGCTTAATTTTAGGTTTCATGTGAGTATAAGAGTAACATCTTACACTCACTTAAGAAGCTCTTAATGGCGTGTGTTTGCTCTGAAGTGCTGCTTTGAGAGATGTTTATAAAAATTTGTGTTCAAAAAATGCTCTTAGAAAACCCTCTTAACTTCTAGGATTGATTGGGAAAGAGTATTTCTCTTGACTGCAACAATTTGCCAAAATATTGTGTTGTGACCACTGTATTTTAACTTTGTTAAAGGAAAGTGGTCATTGTTGAAGCACCATTACAATTCACTGTGATGCTTATAAACCGAGTGATGGCCTGTCTTTTAGAGCAAAGGGTCTGGATTTGCCTGGCATGAAGTTGGACAACGTCAAGATGTTGGAGACACCAGAGGACGCCCGCCAAATCCATGCAGCCTGTCTGGGCTGCAACGTCGTCCTCGTGGGAACCTCTTTCGTTGGTACTGTACAGTGTGTTTTTACATTTGTCTGGACTGGCAGTGTGCAGGAAATGAAAACAGACTGCATATAAAAGAACAATACTTCATCAGATCTACCGCAATTGTTTATTTCAGTGGTTCTCAGTGGGGACCTCCAGGGGTCCTTAAGGGTGTCCCAGGGGGTCCTCAGCAAAAAGGGGAATAATTTATTTTCGCTATAATTCCATTCATAAGTAGCACAATGATAGAACGTATCACTATTTTGGTCATGGGTTGCATACACTTATAAATATAACTAAAAGCCAAAATCCTAATACATGGGCAACCTTGGGACAAAATCTTATCAAATGAGGGTGCGTCGGTTGTGTCAGTTTAGGGGTCCTTGATGTGAAAAAAAATTTAAAAACACTGGCTTAGAGAGTAAGGAGAGAAACACACTGTTTTTTATTCATCAGTTTTATGGAGGCACAAAAAAGGCAGTAAAAGTAATCAAATGAGCCAAAAATATGATAATAAAGCTGAGTTACTCAAATAATCAATGGTGTAAAAAGAAATATAAAGCTTTATACTTTTCCTTTAACCTCTAATCAGCTGGTACAAAATGGAGAAGCTTTTTATTTTTTCCTTTACCACTAATCAGTTGATAAAATTATTTTAAAAACAAGTCATGTTTTTCCTTTGAGGCCAAAAGGAGACTTGTTGCTGCCACTTTCATGTCAGTGCTGGACTATGGTGATGTTGTATACATGCATGCATCCATTCAAAGCTTGAAACTGTTGGATACTGTTCACCACGGAGCTCTGAGGTTCATCACAAACTTTAGAGCCCTTACTCATCATTGCTCCTTGTATGAGCCGGTTGGTTGGTCTGCATTGTCCACACGTAGACTTAATCATTGGCACATTCTTATTTACAAGGCTATTCTTGGTCTGCTTCCCCCATACCTACAAACCTACATCAAAAAGGCACAGGAAGATACTGTCTTTGTTCTAAGGACTTATTACTACTATCTGTCCCTCAAGTCCAGACTGAATAGGGAAAAGGGGTTAGGGTCCTGAATCTTAAGGAGATTTTATGACCTTGTAACTCACAATTTATTCCCATCATAAATTGTTATATGTTTTATGTTTATGTTTTAATATGTTTTAATGTCTGCAACCTTGTTAATTGTGCTGCTGCCTGTCTTGGCCAGGACACTCTTGAAAAAGAGATTTTTAATCTCAATGAGTTTTTCTTTCTGGTTAAATAAAGGTAAAATTAAAAAATTAAAAATAAAATAAATCATAACTTTACCCCCTCTACTTATCTGTCACAAGCTAATTTTATTTTTTATTTTTGTTTTTCTATTTTTTGTGTCTTAGCACACATCTAATACCCTATTTTGCCCATGCAAAATTTCCCATGTTTGTAGTATGTATATGCTAATGAGATGAGCGTGTACATCCAGTATGTTTTAGAATTGACTTTAAAATTTTATTGATCACTTTTAAAGCTCTTCATGGCCTCTCGCCTTGTTATATTTCTGACCTTTTAGTCCCATACACACCAGCACATACCTTGAGATCCTCGGGCAGAGGTCTGTTGTCTGTTCCAGAGTCTCGACTGAAAACTAAAGGGGGAAGAGCGTTTGCTGTCAGGGCCCCGAGGCTCTGGAACAGCCTGCCTGAGGAAATCAGGCCGGCTGAGTCAGTGAACTCTTTTAAGTCCCTTCTTAAAACATACTTTTATAGGAGAGCCTTTCCCGATCTTATTTGACTTTATTTTATCCCTTTTATTTTATTCTATTTTACTTATTTTATATTATCTTAAATGTGTATTTTAGTCTTTTCAATGTTTTCTTGCTTTTATCTTGTATTGTTTTTGTATTATTGTCTTTTAGGTATTATTGTCTTTACACTTGTTAAAGCACTTTGTAACTTGTTTTTGAAAAGTGCTCTGCAAATAAAGATTATCATTATTATTATTATTACACGTGTGTAGGGCAATGATTGGATGAAAAGTATAATGCTTGATATTTAATATAACACTGTATTTTAATAATCTAAATAACAGTATTATTTATTGATGGATTTAGTTACATGTTTGATTTTTCCTTTTAACCTTTTACTACTTTTTGTCAGTTTTGGGAACTCTATATAGTTGTAGTTATTTTAATTTGTTGTGTTTCATATAACACATTATATAATATAATGGTCTCTACCTGATATTCTCTTATTCACCTTCATTAACATATTTTTTTCAGGCATGGAAATCGCATCTTATTTGCTAGACAAAGCCTCCAGCATCACAGTGATCGGCAGCAGCGAGCTGCCGTACCAGAACACGCTGGGCCGTGAAGTTGGCAGATACACAATGAAGGTAAGAAAGAGAGAGATTCCTGTATTGTAGCTTCACATCGCTTCGGTTCAGTTACTTGTAGTTTAAACGCTGTTGTTCCTGCAGATGCTTTCAGAGAAAAATGTGAAATTCTACATGAATGATAATGTGACAGAGGTCAAAGGTGTGGATGGCAAGGTAAAGTGGGAAAATACACATTGTGCCAATTTGTTTTTTATCAAACTCAGACAGTAAAAGAAAATCCTCTTTCTTCCTCAAGGTGAAGGAGGTTGTGCTTAAAAGTGGAAAGGTTATCCCCGCTGATGTTTTGATTGTTGGTATTGGTGAGTGCAATGCAGACATTTCACATTCACACACACACTGCATACAAAATCTTTATTAATATCTGCTCATTTATTTTTAAAGTTTTTATATTATCAATCATACAAACAGTGAAAAATCTTATAATCTTATAAATGTCTTATAATAACAATAATAATGTCATTACACTTCACTTGATGTACAGATTAAAATAAGATATAAAATATGTTTATTAGTGAGCTTTGGAGATACTGGGGGGCAGATTTTGTTACCTTTGGACAGAGCCAGGCTAGCTTTTCCCCCGTTTCCAGCCTTTGTGCTAAGCTAAGATAACTGGCTGCTGGCTGTAGCTTCATATTTACAGGATAGATATGAGTGATATCGGTCTTCTTTTCTAACTCTCCACAAGAAAGAGTGTCACACTTTGACCTTAAAGTTTTTTTGTAGTTGTATTATATATTTTAATGACATGGTCCTGATAGATTTTTCACAGCAGTTACAGAGCTAAGACAAACGGCTCCTACAAAACCTGCTCAACCACTTTTGTCCTCTTTCTTTCTTCCACCAGGCATCAAACCTAACTCAGAGTTTCTGCAGGGCAGCAAAATACAGATGGACTCAAAAAACTTTGTAACAGTCAACAAGGTCAGCTAATAACCTGCTGTTCAACTGATTAGCCTAATTAGATCTGTGCCTTTATTCTCAAGACATAACATATCTTCTTATAGTAAACCTTGGTTTTGTTGAGATTTATGTCCTCATTGTTTGGGATCCCACTGCTTCATGTGTCAAAAAGATAACTGCATAATTAACCAATATATTTTCTTGACTTCTTTTTCTACACTTTTGATTTTCTGACCTTATTAAACCCCAATAAGTAGAAAATATTGAAGTTAACATTTAATGAAGGTAACTAAATATGTGACAGTACAGCAATGTAGTGTACAGTATGTTACCCTAAACTGTGACATTACTTATGTTTTGGGTCAGTTAGACCACAGAAAGCGACCAACTCCCTATTAGACCTCTTATGAACAAACTGTTAAATTATTCTAATAACAGACACAAACATAATCTTGATGTACTTATTTGGGATTTGGGAAGTTGTTCTTTCTAAAAAGTCCTGTCAACAACAATCAAAGATAAAAAGTCTATTAAAATTCAGTGTATTTGATCAGGTCTGAAACAAAAGCAATGTTTCCGTTGCTATAACAGACCACTAAAACAGATCATCGGTTAAAAATATGCATTTCCTGTAAAATTAGGAAAGGTCATGAAGGATCAATGCACAGGGTTTCTAGGAGCCCAAACATCAGGATTAATAAGCATGTGTTAATCCGTGTATTCTGCAGTATTAGTCATCAGTATCTCCCTCCTGCAGTACATGTGCACCAATGTCCCTGGTGTGTTCTGTGGGGGCGACCTGGCCACCTTCCCCCTGGCGATGGCCAAAAACCAGCTGGTCAACATCGGACACTGGCAGATGGCACAAGCACATGGTGATGTACTAACAATGTATATGTAGTCACAAAGTCCTGGGGCTGCTTTCATGAAGACAAATTTGGTTGCACAAAGCTGTTATATAATGTACCTTGACAAGTACTTTCAACTTTCTATGAATTCTGGGTAAATTTTCTTAAAAAAACAAAAAAAACATTGCTGACCGAGCCAGCAACTACTGAGCTCCTTATACTTCAGCGGAAAATGTTTGTTAACAATTTATGGACAATTTATTGTGAAAATGGGAAAGAGTGTAGTAATATAAAAAAACACTTCCAGTAAGATGAAGTGTACATCTGTAACAGAGTTAGAGGCTGTGGTCAGACTCAGGATAGTTTCCTTGAACAAATGAAAATGACTGACGACGTCCTCATTACTGTACATTTCCAACAAGTTACTGCACTTTCTAAAAACTCTTCCCTTCTCATTGCTCGACCCACATCATTGTTAGCAAAATACATAAATTATGAGCCATGTTTTCTGCTTCTTTTGTCATTTGGTGCCACTGGTCAGCAGGTGTCATTGATCGTTACCACGTTATCATGGGTTAGGGTGGCTAACTTTTTAGATTTAAAATAAGTCAGTCAAACTTGCATTAGACTAATCTAAGAGCTGCAGACCAGTCTAAAATATCTTTATGAATCCTGCCCCTGAACTCTATCTGAAAAAGTAATATAATACAAAATAATTCAGCTTGTTTATAATATACTGTATATCATATAGAAAGATATTATTGCAATTGTGTTTCAATCAAATATTTCTACATACATTTTAGGACAATTGTATGACTATTGTAAGAAGTAAGATGATTGCTGGGCTATACCAGCCACAGTTAGTATATATGTATACCAGATCATTTATAAATAAGTTCTCTGTAATAAATCAACAGAGAAAATTGTAGCAGACATCTTGGCAGAAGGACTTTTAATCATCATCATCAAAACTTTATTACAGACAAATCTTACTCACACCAATACATAAATACTTGCCCACAAACATATATGCATACACACATACATATAAAAGACACAATTACAAATAATTTTAAAAGATAATCAGTGTTCTACCAGGAGACAATTGTACCAATGTTTCCACATATGGGATTGATAGCGTGTAGTACTTAGCCATATGTTTGTCCAAAATTATTTCATTTTGTAACCCATTGTAACCCATTCACAAACATTTTAATTTATTTATTTTAACAACTAATATAATAAGAGCTACAGGAAACTAATAAACACTTTGCTTAATGATGATCATCTGTGATTGTTTTTAATATATTACTTGTGTAATTTCTGTGTCTACAATATCTTGTCTCTTAATTTCCAGTTAAATGTTAAATGTTTTTATTGTTGTTTAGGGAGGATAGTAGCTCTGAACATGCTGGACAAACCGACTGAACTCAACTCAGTTCCTTTCTACTGGACCGTCCTATTGGGTACGACCATCCGATATGCAGGTGGGAACAGATACACACACACACACACACACACAAAGACACATGTGTATGCATATGTTTGTGGTTATCTTTCTAATTGTACAACTGGACACAAACCCCATAATGCTGAGTGCAGCTACACTGAGAGGCCTTGGTCACATGATTGATGTTGTTGCAGCACAAATAGACACATACCCCACATGTGCGGATGTGGGGTATGTGTGTAGACCATGGATCATGTAAAGTTATTTTATATGTTCAAGTCAAAAACTAACTCATTAACTTGACCCTTTAATCAAAGGGAATAAGTGACAAATTTAAAATGCTCTGGCACTCTGTGCACAAACTATACACACTGATTCCTGAAATATTACTCATTTCCCCACTTATTGCCATTAAATGTAACCAGTGCTTTTTTATTTTGGTTGTGTGCAGGCTATGGAGAGGGATACACTGACATTGTAATGAAAGGGAAGTTTGAGGACAACAAGTTCCTGGCTTTCTACATGAAGTAAGTTAAGAAACACAGCTGTGATCAGAAAAAAATGTAACTCCTTGTATGCCCAAATATGTATGTTTTAAAAACATTTTTTACCTGTAGGAATGATGAGGTCATAGCAGCAGCTAGCCTAGACTACGACCCAGCAGTGTCTGCAGTAGCTGAGAGGTTAGCAACAGGAAAAGTCATCACGAGGAAAGAGGCTGAGTATGTAAAATCTGTCTGTTTTTATGCTACTTTCTTTCCTTCTTTTTTTTTTCTTTCCATCTTTGGGTGATTTTGGTAAAGAATAATCTGAAGGATGGTTGTATGTTCACATAGAGATTTTTATTTATAGTGAACAAACAAAGGGGAACAAAGTATCCTATTATGGATCTCTAACAGTCAGAATTTGCAGGAACAAGTCTCAGACTGATGACTTGCAATCGACATAAATGATAAAGTCACATTTGTACCAGAAAAATTAAGAAGTTGACAAATAATAATATAACAAAGTCCCACTGAAACGTCTTGCGAAGTGACAGGAAATGAAGGGAAAGATATGGGACAATATGCATCAAAAGTTTCAAGCTGCAACTGTATTTCCTGCCCAGGCAGCCGGAAATTATATTGCTCTTTTTGAAAAACACAAGCAAAATATTGAAATATTAATCTTAAAAAATAATTTTGGGTCACACTGTACAGATTGAGCAATGAGATATATATATATATATATATATACAATTTTTAGTTGCCATCATTGGAAAAAAAGGGGACACAACTCGGGAAATTCCTTTTTATCATGCACTGGACAGAATATATTTTCATCCAGATTGTCAGAGGATTCTGGAAATACCTTCTTAACAGTGGTTGTTAAAGCAGCTATAATAGCTACTTTTATAATAACAATGTACAAATTAACAATGTGACAACAATGAACAATGAATTATCACCCCAATCTTTAGCTCCCCTTGGCATTTTAGAGTTTCAGCTCATTGTTTAGCTGTCCAGCCCACAACTTTACTGTTTCGGTTCATTCTCACGACTCATAGAGTTGTTTTTGGCTGCAGCTATTTTTAGCTAGAAAGCTCTAAAAACCCACTGTACACTACCTGCTCGGCACCAAACACCAAATAGACACGTTGACTTGCAACTAGCTGGTGAACACACTGAAGCATTTAGCAGCTAAAGAGCTAGACAAGCTGGCAGAGACCAAAAACAGAGCTGAAAGAGAGTGAATATCGGACTTTATTCACCAAGTGGCCAGACACATGACTGAATGAATGATAATGTTGCTCTGTGACTGCTGCACATAAGCTACTGTTTGCTAACAGGTTAAAAGTTGCTTGTTGCCAAAAGTAACCTTGTGGATTTTTCAGACATCGTCAAGTGATTTATAATCGGATGTTTAGCTCTGTGACTAGAACGTAAGGACAATACATGAGAAGAAACTGGGGCTAACCAGGTGCGTCAAATGATGTATATCCTCTCTTTCTTCTCTTCCTGACAGATCAGATGACCTGAGCTGGTTGCAATTGTCCTGATCTACACTTTCCTCCACTCATACGCTCAACACATCATCTGTACAGTGTCAAAGTGCAGCCAGCACGTCATTCATCCGTCTCGCCGTCACCACTGCTCTCACCAAGGACAAAGAGTTTGGAGACCTGGATTAAAATGTTTGATTCAGAAGAGACAGACTTCACTGATGGTGCAATCCACAGTGAAGTTTGCATTTACAGTGTTGAAGGATTCAAACTGTGCGTCAAACAGTCAGTGCTCGTGTGAGGGGGGACTCCACCATGCAAACAACAGATACCTCAGAGGATGACTTCTTTTTTAATCTTAATATTGTTTATTATTTAATTAGATTTTTTTTAATGGCTTAATGTCTCTAGGGGTATTCCAGTAACGGTCTAGAGACGTCACATTTAAGATGCCTCAGTATGTTATCTGCTGTTAATATTTAAAAAATTCCCCCTGCTGCTGTGTACGTGGTCCGGTCAGTGAGTCGGAGGGGGGGATTATGAGAACAGAGGGGTAGCGTTCAGCTCTTTGAAGCAGAGGTGCTGAAATAAGCAACGGTAACAAAACACACCGACAGGGAACAATAGGCCTTTCGACAAACAGCACACAAAGGCAGCGTGGCAAAACCTTCACAAAAGAAATGCTGTGTTTTCCTCTCGCTCTCCCCTCTGACTCTCTGCCAGTTTATCACTGTCTTTACCTCACACCTCTCTTTCCACCTCCACATTTACTCCTCGCTTCACTCTCAGCGCCCTTCCTGTCAACAACACGCCTCAGTTCCCTGCACCCAGGGTTCAACTGGTGCAGACTTTTCAAGGCCAGTACCAGTTATGATATTTTAGCTTTTAAGGTGCCAGTGGCTTATATTTTGTACTGATGTTGTATCTAAAAGATTTGGCCAAATACGATGAGAGTTCTTTTTTTGCGTAGGGAAAGTTGAACAGTCTTTAGATCATGGTCAGCATTTAAATTCAAAATGCTTTACACCCATCTTTCATAAAAGGGGTGGGTGATAGTGATAACATCTTCTACCACAATGTATATTTTGGATAATCAATTGAGAAATTATTATTGGAAAAAATAACCAGACAGGAAACTCTTTTTGGCTGACAGAGCAAACTTTAACAAATCAAGGTCTTCAACAAAAAGTTACATTAAAAACAATATTTATGTAGATCCAGATAATAACAATACTTATATATCATCACACATCTTGATTTAATTTTTAAGGACACAGATAATTAAAGATAGCCTTCCACTGTTGAGGTTAATTGTAAAATAATTTCCATTTTTCTGCTCATCTGGCAGAAGGTAAAACAGACTGCCGTGATATTCCTGCAACCTCACATCTCTGAAAGAATTGAATTTACAGTATTATACTGTCAAGTGACAGCTTCAAATTTAAATCTATCTACTCTGAATTGTTACAGTAAGTAATTTAGTATTTTGTGAATTCTCGAGGGAAAAAAATATATAGCTTTGTTCTTCTAAGGATTTTTAAGTGGAAGGCTCTTTAAAGATCAAGAAGAAAAGTTACAATGCTGAATATCAGTCCTCTTGTTAGTAACAGCTTTGTTATCAATGCAAAGTGAACCCTGGTGCCCAGGGAGAAATGACAGGGATGTACCTGTCATTTAAACTTTTTGTCTTGTGTTTCACTTTGTTCCTGCAATAAAAAAACTCAAGCACAACAGTACTGTCTCTTTTTGCATTCATTGCCTCTTCAGAGTTGGAGCTTCTGATTCGCTCAGGACTTTTTCTGCCATCTGTTGTCCAGCAGTGGTGGTGTTACAAGGATTTACTTCAACGTGGGCAGGAACAACACACAACAAATAGTCTCTCTTTGTAAATTACAGGAGTTCAGAATGTATGTCTTTTATTCTCCTTTTTAAAGTTAAATAAGTAGAAACAGAGAAGGGTATATCCCCGGCTGGATTCAGGACTTTGAACATTAGAACAGCCAATATGTTTAACAGTTTGAGCTTTTAAGCACATTGTTGCAACAACATCTCACACACACTGGTGGATGACTTTCTGGCATAAGACAAGATAAAGAAAGAAAACTGCTAAACTGCTAAAGTTCTTACATTGCAGTCGTGGAAAAAATGACATGTGATCCCCCCCAATCCACTTAACGCTGCTCTACTTCACTGACCTGTGGATAAACAGATGTGAGGGGTGTTCAGTGATATGATGCTGATTGGGTTTCAGTCCTGAAAGATCAACTTTGGGTCTTTTCTGGAAGTGTTACATAATTTAGAGGCACAATATAAACCCCGCAAATCCTCTATTAAGTTTTTAACAGGAACATTCAGCAGGGGGATGCCCTCTGACAGTCGTGGCACTGTGATACGTATTTTGCACCTGACAGAGAAAGCTTTTCTATCGGGTGCTATAAAGGATATTGAAATGGCAACATGCTCAGTTTCTCTTCAGTTCAATGTCTTAAGGATCTTCCCTTTGTGTACAGAATGGCTAAATCTGTTTTAATCTGGGAACAAATAAAGCCTGAGATGACTAACAGCACAACGCTCTCATTTCCTTCTTTAATTCAGTGGGTGCTCTAACGCAGCACTGATGCAGCCTCCCGTTGGTCAGATTCAGTCAAAGCATTTTTCTCTTTGCTTCTCTTTAAGAAAAGTGTGTCTCAATGCATTTTGGGTTTCATTTACCAGAGCCTCTCTGTGTGCAATGTAACGCTGCCGCCTGTTGGCCCTGTACAGCTCCAGCCTCTTCTCCTCATGTTGGGGGTCCTCCAGCACTCCCTCCCACCTCAGGCTCTCCCTAGCCTGGGTGCTGAGCTCTGCTAAGTACTGCAGCTGCGGAGCTCCACTGCCACTGCTTTTGTTTGTTGCAGTCAGCAGGGCTGGTGAATCCTTTGGGTGTTTATCGCTCCTCCGGCCACTGCCAGCGGGCCATTCGCCATCCTTCTTACCGGTTGCTCTGAGCTTGGGCAGCTGGCCTCGATGACCCGGAATCTCTGGGAGCAGCAGGGACACGGGCAATGTCTCAGGAGGCAACGATACTGCCTGAGGTTTCTCTGTAGGGAGGCAACATAAATATTTGGGCCCACCAAACAAAGCTGAGGGTTTAGATTACTAATGACTCCCTCTGGAGTTGGAGGACTCATGGCTTGGTTTACAGTAATGAGCTGTAATTGGCCAGTGATTGGATGACCTTTGTGTTTACATTGTATACATGTACAGTGACCTTTGTATGAACTGCCAAAGTGGTGATACATTTGTATCAGTTCAAATGATTGTTTTTCCACTTCCTTAAGTCTGTAGCATAACTAAATGCATGCTGTGCAGGACATTCAGGCTTTTCATTATGTTACAGTTTATATGAGAATCCTTTCTGTGATCACTGGCACTATTTACTCCATCAGGAGTTCAAGAGGATCTGCTTTTAATAAAAAATGTGGCACAATAATTTAATTTCCTTTACTGTGACAATGCCTCGAGTCCCAAATCTATTTTTCAATCCTGCATTTTTGTGCAGGGAGTGCATGAGGATTTCCTTTATTGAGATTCCAGTCTGGTGTCATGTTGCGGACTATTGACATGTAACAGACATAAATTTAAATATATATTTTATTTAAATAATTGACAGCTTTTGACTAGGTGTGCAACATACTTAAATGATAAATACTTTTTATATTGGAGATGGCATAAACCAGTGAATGTGTTTTATACCTTAAAGCAAATGCATGGGCTCCTCATATAGTGGCCTAGGGGTTTAAGGGGCATGTTACCATCTCTCTGTCACATCCCAATAAAGGCATAAATTGCCCCCCTCAAAATAAACTTAATGATGATGTCATAAGACAGTAAACAGGCCTGTTATTTGCATTTCCACTTTCTTTACAGTATTCAAATTTTTTACTTTCGCAGAGATTAAAGTGTATTTTTGAGAAGCTGGAAATAGTTTTGACATTTTTGCTTGATAGAAGACTTCAGCAATTAATTGATTGTCCAATTGTTGTTGATAGGTTTTTGTCCATCGACTAATCAATTATTTACTAATCATTTTGGCATCTCAAAATTGTACTGCTTTAGACTTTTGCTTCACTACATTTCATAGTAATTATTCAGATAGTTATTCCACTACAAGTACACACACTTTTACTTTGTGTTGTTAATGGATCTAAGTAGAATTACTTCTTCACTTCACTGAAAAGTGTATGTACCTGTATTTTCTGGAGGAGTCTTCCTCTTCTTCTTCTTCTTGTTTTTCCTGTCAAAACTCCTGGATGACTGGAGCAGCTTACAGTTTTTGTCCTCCGGCATGGTGAAGTCTTGGCACACACAGTGCGGATGAGTGGGACTGTGCAGGCTGAACAAGTTCTCGGAAAACGTTTGTGCCTTAGGATAACATGCATCTCAGATGGATCCTCTCTCACTTGCTGCAACACCATTAAGTTGAAACATCACCACTAAGCTAAATCCTGAACTCCTCACATCTTCGTTTAGTGTACCAGCAGCTGTTGTTGCCCTTCAGTCCAGAGAGCAGCCACGTTATGTTTCGGGGTTTAAACTCGTTCGTACACGACACAAAAAGGCAGAAAAAAAGATGGGAAATGCGGGATGCTACATTGCTAAGTTACCTTTTATATTTGTTCCGGGACATTTCATTCACGCTTCACCGCAGCGTTGCCAAGGGACGCGTCACAATAGCAACAGGACACACCTTTTTCAGCCCAGTAACTCTCGCTTTTCCCTTTTGTAAGCACATGTCTTGTAGGCAAACTCTTCAGACAAGACTGTCTTTATTTCTGTAACTTCAGATTTTGTTAAAAGAATAGGCCTGCAAGAATAAATAGGCTACAAGTTATATATGGTGGTATAGCCTAACAATCAATAATAAGTTAACGTGACCTTGATATATTATGCACTTCGGCACTTACGAAAGAGGGAGATACCGGTAGTATTGTACAATCAGGATATTAAAGATTTTGACACAGATATTAAGTACCTCTTCACTATCTAGCCAAAGCAAAGGGATGACCCCGACGTGATTTGAACACGCAACCTTCTGATCTGGAGTCAGACGCGCTACCGTTGCGCCACGAGGTCTATAAAGTCACGTATGATCTCCCAGTAACTGTAC